TACTGGAAGCTTGTATTTCTCAGGTCCGGAATGTGAACCTTTTACTTCCACTTGAGCAAATGCCTCACATAAGTAAGAACATGTGGAGCTGCTTTTGTGGGAAACAGCTCACTGGTGTAAAACCTGGGCCCATGCCACTTAGCTTTAGACACCTCATTTAGGTGCCTAACTTAAGATCTATCTTTCGGTGACTCTCTGGCCAGCTTCCTGTTCCGAATGACCCTATCAGGGCTCCTTTTTCTTTTCACTGGCACCAGAGGCAATGCGAGGAAGCAGACAAGACACTTAGCTATTGCATTTAGGTATCTAAAGTTAGGCATTTCAAGCGCTCTCCAGTTGTGGCTGTATTACATAACATCAGAGACGATGTTACATAAACGATATTTTCCTTACATTCCATTCCATGAGTCTGACAAATTGGAGGCTAATAAATAATCTCATTAATAAAAAGAATGATAAATTATTTGATTCGATACATACAAAAGTGATCCATATACATAAAGTCATTACACTTCGTAAGAAAAACTGGAACTACACTTTGTTTTATCTGTGTTCTTAGGGGCACTATTTAAAAACTGAATCCGTAAGAGAGATATGAATGTGAAGATAATACGAATATGTAAAAATGTGATTTTCACATAATTATATATAACACTAAAGAAGTAAGACAATCTACAGTCATTTTGAAACTGATAATCTTGGTCACACTTATTGTTTTCTGTTGAGTATCAAGGATCTCACCCTTTTACAACTGCAGTGTGTTGCAGCAGCTTCATTTAATCATAAAGCCTTGAAGCAGCTCCCTTCTGCCAATCCTCGCAGCCGCATTGCTGCTTTCAGTTCCCTGTGTAAGAGGAAAGTAAATTTCAATGCGCAGAAACTGCACGAAGGGAACGGAGAAGAAGGCACAAAGGAAAGTATACCCTTGAAAAGGCCTATGAGAACATAAAGTATGTAGTTATAGATGTAGATATATACTCAAATTCCTTCTCATTATCTTTACTCTGCCGTTGAAGCGCATACAATGCATAAGCATAGATGTTCTTAGCAAATCCTCAACACCTCCCCGTGAAAGGGAGGGGAGAAATGCAACCACTGAAATGGGGTTCTGCAATTAAATTGGTGTGTGTCAAACAGGAAGTCATACTAAAAAAAAAAAAAAAAAGACCTCCCCCTAAGTCACCTGCTGAGACAGTGCCTCCTCTCAGACACTATTTTGTATTTTAATATTGAATTCTCTACTCTGGCGCAAAGGAGGGAGAGAAAAAAAAGAGAAGGTCCTTCATTTCATGAGATTTTGACTTTCCCTCTGGAGATGCCTATTTATCTCTGTGGACAAGATCAGAAGCTTAGGGCAGCTAAGCTCCCATATTAGGTGCATCACTTGGCTTCGTTCAAAGGCGTTTAGGATTCTACGTTCGAAGCCTAAAGGAGAGCCGTGTGACTGTAGAAGGAGTACGTACCTAGACTCATAGGCTAGCCATTCTAAGCCAAGAGCTCTTAAGTTTACACTACTCATCCTTATGCTAAAATAAAATCCAATATGCACTAAATAGAAAACTCTGGGTCAGATCCTGACTTTGTTTAAATTGCTGAAGCTCCATTATCAGCAACCTATTCTTTAGCTTCAAAAACCATTTGAAGTTGCTAAATGACAACAATTAGTTTCATTTCCAAAATCCAAAGAACTGAATAGCAAGAAAATGAAAAATCCTACAATTATCCACATGATAAACAAGCACACTGTGTCTAATTCTCTACAGGCTAAAATACAATATTACCATTTACAGAGATTCCAAATGAATGCAAAGTGGCTGAAAATGCCAACATTCAGAACTGGCAGAATTTTATATCCAGCTTGCAAAAGCCTGCAGTAATTGCCTAAGGTGTGGAATACCATAGTCTAAGAGATGTGAAGATAGCAAGGCTGTCGATGATGTCATCGTTACCTTTCTACTAATAACCGTGCACATGCTTTATTACACAATATTTATTAAATTGTTGACTCCGGGCAAAATGAAGCTTCTTCACAGGCATTTTAGGCTGAGCAGTAATACTATCAACAGGGAGTTTTTACGCATATGTACTTTTAAAGTAGGATTTTGTATTGTATTGCTCTTGTAACATAGTACATGAAAGAATAGGCCAAAGTTTTCTAGGATGATTAATAGCTTCGAGTGCTTCTGTTTTTGAATAAGCATCATGTTTTTTTCAAACGCATTTCCAAATATGATGCAAGTAACCGAATTTTACACAGAATTCTCCAAACGTAGCCAAGGAAAGAGACATGAAAACACACTACAGTCCCCTCTGCTTAATCTACACTTCTTTATAGATGAAAATTCTGCCACTGCATTCAATGAAAACACAATTTTACCACATGTGAAAAGTACCATTTAGACGCGCATTAGCCAAAAGGTGCTAAAACTCAACCTACACTTTTCAGTTTCCGTGGGCAAACAAATGCTCAGCACCTTGTTGAACAGCGCACCCTCAGTGATATAGGAGGGAATGTCATCACTAAGTGACAGCCACTCAGCAGACAACCCTGAACTAGCTCTCACCTAGCTGAGCTGTTGCTGCCTCTGTAGCCGTGAAATGACAAAACAGCAGCAAACCTGCCCAAGAAACTCACCACACAGAGCTCTGCCTGCCAGAGCTACGCTGCTGTCACCGCGGCAGTTACCTAGATGAGGTGAAGTCACGCACGAGCCGCAACAGGGACACGAGCAAAACGGGTCACAGAGGATCAACGTTGCAGAGCGACGACAGGAGACAAACTTAGGCAGAACTGAGTAAGAGGCAGAAAATACGAGGGCACAAAGTTGTGATAGCGGACGCCACAACACCCTGTCTCTGGCTACGTTAAAGATCGTTAACGGTCTGGCAGGCAGGGCAAGCAGTCAAGTGGCAAACTATGAAGATGACATAAAATAATTCAAAGTGATCAAGAGCAAATAAAACGGGACGTTCAGAGATACTCGGTGGAGTGAATCTCCTCCTAACTGTTTAACTCTGTGATCGACCTAAATTTTTAGCATTTTCAGGCTGCATTTCTGCACATACAGAAAATCAAAATATGAACTGGAGAAGAGGCATGCTCTAGGAAATTCCAAAAAGCTTAACATCTTAAAATTATTGTCTTACTTACTGCACAAAAAGTAACTCTAGTAGCAGTGGTTTTTGCTCATCACACAGAGATAACGCTCGTTTCAGTGGTGTCTGTATTAGCAGAATGAAAACACTGTACCTCCCTATGCATTTGTGTAACACCCAGCACATTCGTTTGGGTTACGACCGAATTCTTGGGGCATTTCAAAAACACAATCATTCTTAAAAAAAAAGAAAAAACACCTATCACGTATTCTGTAGTCTTCAAGTGCCACTTGCTACGTCAGGGCAATGTCCCTGCACGTGCACGGCCACGACCGACGGCTCCGAGCGCGGAGGGGCAAAAAGGCACCAAGGCGAGGGCAGCCGGGGGGCGCCCCACCCGCGCGCCC